GCAGGCTCTGCCGTGGGCAGCTCGGGCTCAGCTTGCACTCCAGGTGCCAAGTTTGTGCACAAAGTAAATTAAAAAAGAGAAAAAATCTTTAAAGCTATTGTTAGCAGCAGGGAATGCAGGTGACAAGGGACAAAGTGACTTTTCCCAGCACATGAATTTTGTCTTCCCTGAACTGGGCTGGCTTCAAAGCAACCGTGGGGATTTAGTTCAGCTCAGCCTCTCCCATGCCAGACGTTAAGCCAGGCCTAACCATGACCCTCAGCTGTCACAACCTCCTTAGAGAGAGAAGGAAGCATGGAGAGCACCATGGAAAAGGACCAGAAATAGCAATGGAGCCTCTCTGGGAGGTGTCCCCTGGCTGGTGCCTCATGGAGGATCAGATATCCCAGGGGTTTCCCAGGTGACACCAGGCTCTGTTTGCTCTGCTGTCCTTTGGATCCATCTAGATCACACAGCCTCCCTCTGAGGACAATGGCAGTGCCTCAGTCCTGGGGAAAATGGGATCATTTCCTCCAAAGTCCCTGCTCTGCTTTGCTCTAGATGTTCAAACATTGCTGTGCCCAGGGAGAAGCATCTTCAACACTGTCACTTAACTTGATGAATTTTTAAAGGGTTTAAAAGTGACCTCAGGGACTTCCCAGCTCCTGTTCCAGTTTCCCAACCGCTCCCTGGATTTTCAATATATTCCTGGATTCCTTTCAGCCCTGAGGAAGGGCTAAGAGAGCAAAGCTTGTGCTGGTGCTCCCCTCCAGTCCTTGGCCATCCACAGAGGTGTGCTTCCTGTTCTTGCAGCTCAGACTCCCTCAGCCCAGCCTGTGGCAGAGCTGGAGATCTCCATTTTACCCTCATCCCACATTTCCTCCTTTCTGCCCGGTCTGTTTGACACCACAGGGCTCAACATCCAGCTTGGGATCCTGCCAGGGTGCTCCCAACCCCTGGGGTCCATGGAATTCCAGCTCCATGGGGAGGGCAAACACAGGATTCTGGCTGGGTGGTGCACCCAGGCAGTGCCAAGGAGATTGTGTGCTCCATTCCTGAGGCTGGAAAACCAGGATGGACTCCCCAGGACAGATTCCTGGGCACCCTTTGGGCTGCACATGGGAGAGAGAGGAACAAGAAACCTCTTCTGAAGTGGTGACCAGCCAGGGAGATCCAGGATCAGCAGAAATTGGTCCCAGTTCCATCTCAGAGATGGATCCTGGAACCTTGTGTTTAATGATCATGTGGGGTTTCGTGGGCTCTGAACCTTTTTGGGAAGAGCAGCACAGGGGCTGGTGAGGAATGGGAGCCACAGACACGTGAGCAGTGTGGAGATTGCTTTTTTTATCCTGATGGAATATTGCTGATGAAAATCTTCTAAGTTTCACAAGTGTGGCTGTGCTGAGAGGCAGGAGTGAGGCTGGCAGGGCACGATGGGGGTGGGACTTGCTGGGAGCCTGGCACAGGGACTGGAACCTGCCAGGGGACCATGGGGACAGTCCACAGACCTGGTGAGGGGCTCTTTGAGTGCCTGAGTTTGAACAGACAGGTGTCTGCTAAGGAAGGCAGGAGCTTCCCTTGAAATGGAAAATGTAAACCCCCTCCCTCTGAATTATTATAATTCTGAAATTAAGGGGCCCTCAGGCAAAGATATTGGAGTAGGAATAACAGTTCTTTATTAGGGAAATTAAAAATACAGATGTAATAGTATAAACTAAAAACCAAACTGAACAACCCTGCCAGAGTCAGAATTGGCCCTGACCCCTGTGTGTCAGGGTGGTGGCACAGTCCCATCCCATGGGGGCTCAGCCCTCCTGCAGTTGAGGTACCATGGTGAGATCTCTACACACTTGGTGAGGGGTTCTTTGAGGGATTTCTGCTTCAGTGCCAATGTTTCTGTGGTATTTTTCATGATGTTATTTAAGGGGATTTCACTGCTCCCAAATCCCCACACTGCATTTGGTTTGCAAGGTGCCTGGTGGAAAATGTGTCTGTGCTGGAGAGCAAAGCCCAGCCCAGCTCCCTGCTCAGGGGCTGTTGTGCAGCTCTGGAGAAGGGGCAGGAGCCCCAGGGCTCCTGAGGAGGGGGCACAGTGCTCAGATGGAACATTTGGAGAAGTAAAACGCTGTCAGCGCCCTGCCCCAGCCCCTGCTGCTGATGGTACCAGGTGTCACCATGGGGATGGGGCCACAGCACGCCCCAGCTGTGGTTTGAGGGTCCCAGGGCTTGCTGGGCACACTGGGAGCAGCAGCCACAGGGAACCTGCAGGAGGTTTCTGTGTTTCTGACATGGACACTGAGGCTGCATTCAAAGTGAGCTTGTCCCAGAATCCCAGAATGGCCTGGCTGGGAAGGACCCACCCAGTGCCAGTCCTGCCACGGGCAGGGACACCTCCCGCTGTCCCAGGCTGCTCCAGCCTGGCCCTGAACACATCCAGGGTTGGGAATCCCAGCCTGGACCAGTCTGGCTGTGCCAAGACAGCCCTTTTATCCCAGACAGGCACCTACATATTCCCATGGAGCTTTTATGGATCCCACCCTCAAGGGCTTTCCCACTCCGGTGCTTTGGAGCTCTCCCCCACCTGCCCCTCCTGGGCCCCTTTTCGCTGTTTTCTCCCCCTTTGAGGCTTGGCTTTGGCTGCAGGTTCCCGTCTGAGGGTGCTGAGTGTTCCTGAGGCACAGCTCCACATCCCTGGGGCCTCTGGCACGGGAGCTGGGCCCCCTTGGAGCATCCCTTGTTAGAGCTGAGAGGTGCTGGATTCCAGAGGCTCTGCAGGGTTTCTGCTGAATGATGTTACAGCTTTAAAACCCTAATATACCTGGGCAGCAGAATTCAATCCAGCATTTCTCACTCCAGGGTATCATGGCTCTCCTCCAGCACTAAAACACACCACAGGATCCAGGTAGGAGCTGATTTTCAGCTCTTCAGCCCTCAGGGGAGAGGCACTGTCTTTTTTTTTTTTTAATGGTTGTAGAAGCCAAGGCTGTGACAGTGATTTCAGGAATGTTTTAAATCCATGGCTAGCTGCTATTCCATCTGTGGCTGAGCTCAGGGGCTGCAGGGCTGGGGTTTCCTTCACCCAGGGGCTTGGCCAAGGAGTGCCAGAGCCCAGCCCCACAGCCTCACTGAGCCTGCAGTGCAAGCTCAGCCCAGGAGAGACTGAAACTCCTGTCAAGTGATTTGAAAATTCAGTGTAATTGCTTTGAATGATTCTTGGGGCTGTCCAAGGGTTGGACTCGATGACCCTTGTGGGTCCCTTCCAACTCTGTGCTTACCCTGGGGGGTAATTGTCCAGAGAAAACAGGAACTGGTCACTGCCTGAATAGTTTGTGGTGAGCCTGGGAACAAATGAAGGTGGTGCAAAGGGCTGGAAGTGTCTGTGCAGTGATAGCAGAGCTGGCATTGCCTCTCAGTGTCCCTTGGCCAGGTACAATTCCCATTTTAGTGCCGAGCAGGTGTCAGAGGGAGCAACGTCTCAGAGTGAAACCCATGAATTGGCAAGGACTGGGAAATTACAGATGTGCTTAATGAAACAGAACCCCTTGTTTATGTTTCTAATGTGCTGCTGGAGCAAACTGGCTCCCAAATAAAAATACTTAAAATTACGATTAAGATTTATTTACATAATTACTGCCAGAGAAATTCCTGGAGCGTGCTGAGCAGTGCAGGAGGAGCCTCCTTCTCTCCCTCTGTGCTTGCCTGTGTCTCCAGGTTGTTTGCTCCTGGGATGTCTCTCAAAGCTGTTCCCAGCCCAGGGAGCAGGAAGGCTTTTGCTCCCACTGAATCCATCTGTATTGTCTGTATATTTGAGTTATTGGCTGAGGCACAGCCAGATCATCCTGGTGCTGCTGACTGGAGCAGCATTCCAGAGCTGGCACCTCCTCCTGGGCACAGAACCTGCAGCACCGAGGGTGGGCTCTGAGCAGCCCCTGTCCTGTGCACTGAGAGCCCTGGTGGCTTTCAGAGCCGCTCCCAGCCTGTCCTGGCCACCTCCAGCCCCAGGGAGTCCCTGGCCAGCTCTGGGTGGCTCTGGGGACACTGCTGATTTATTTCTGCTGGAAATGTGCAGCCCAAAGCACAACAGGCCTGGGATGAGCTTGTGCTGATTGAATCCAGCCCTGGGCATGAGAAATCTTCCTCTTAATATTTCAATTGACTTTGGCAAACTCGCCTCCTCCTCGTGTCTCCTAAATCACAGGGTGAGTGCTGCTGACAGTAATTCCCACTCCTGTCTGGGCAGTGCCTGCCCTTCCCTGTGGCTGGGACCTGTGGGGTTTGCAAACACCTCCCTGCTCCAGCCTCCTGTGGAGAGGGTTTCTCCTCAGCTCTCAGACCTGGGAGATGGGAATGTTCTTTGTGGGGCCCTGCTCCAATGTGGATGTTCTCCTCCCAGAGGGGTCTGGAGCTGGGGCCCTGCAGTGACAAACGCCTTGCTCAGGGTGGTTGGCTGGACCCTCTGAGGGGGCTGCATGCTCCAGGTGGGGTCTCAGGGATGCCAGACCCTTCCCTGCCTTTGGAAGTTGTGCTGTTGGGCAGCACTTGGGGCTGCCCCTGGATCCCTGGCAGTGGCCAAGGTCAGGTTGGACGGGGCTTGGAGCACCCTGGGACAGTGGGAGTGTCCCTGCCGTGGCAGGGGTGGTTCAGGGTGGGCTTTGAGGTCCTCTCCAACCCAAACACTCCACGATGCTGTGACCTGTTACCTGCAGGTCAGTGCAGTGCTCTCTGTAATTGTTACCAAGGCTGAAATCTGCAGGCTGAGTGTTGGGAAATCCTGTTTTCCTAAGGCTCCACTGCTCTGGCTCCCCTCGCTCCTCTCCAGCAGCCAGAGGCAGCAGCTGCTTTGCTGCTTGTTCCTTCAGCTCCTGCCTCAGACCCTGGCTCCGAGCTCAGCCCACCCCTCTCACACCCACCTGCAGCCTGAGCTGCTGCTCCAGCCCTTCCTCCAGGCCAGCCTTTGCTCCATTCCATGAAACAAAGGCAGATAACCCCAATGACCCTCTCTTTTCCCATTTTGGTGGCAGGGAGAAGATGCCATTCCACCATGTGACAGCTGGCTTGTTGTACAAGGGCAATTACCTGAACCGCTCGCTCTCGGCCGGCAGCGACAGCGAGCAGCTGGCCAACATCTCCGTGGAGGAGCTGGATGGTGAGTGCTGCTGGGGCTGGGCTGTGGGCAGGGGAGGAAGGCAGGTGCGAGGTGGGATGGCTCAGCAGATCAGGGACACAGAGAACATCCCTGATCAACGCTGTGCTGGGAGCTATGGAGTGATTTTAGTCTTAGCTTTTGTCCTTCTGCAGCTTTTTGAAACATTAAGCCTGTGTTTTAAGGGGAAAATTAGAAAATTTAGGGTCATGCTGCCCCAAAGATGTCTTTAGCTTTCCCTGGGATCCTGCAGAGCTGAGTCTGTCTTCCCACCAAGTCTCATTTGCTTTGAGGCCTTCCCAAAGGGAGGTTCCTCCCCGTGTCTCAGGGTAAGAAGATGCATGGAGGTGGCTTGTGGCTTAAGAAGATGGAAAGAGCTTTAAAATTCCATTTTCCAGATCAGTGGTAGGGAGCACAGAGCAGCCTTAGTCTGGCACAGGCCATCAGGAAGGTTGTCCGTATGTGCTGCCTGGAGGATCCCATCATTTCCCCCTGGAAGCTGCTGCTGTCAGTCCTCTCTGCCCTGGCCCAGGATGTGTGGCCAGGTAGAGGTTCAGGGTGAAGGTCTCTTTTGTAGAGGATTTGTGGCTCACCAGGGTAATTTCTGAGTTAAATAATTAATGTTGTTGAGTATTGTGGAATGAATTGGAGCTCTTGGTTTGCTCTCCAGTGGACACTTGGTACAAGCCATGGTCACAATCAGGGGCCTCCATGGAGAACTTTTTGAGGGAAAGATCAAGGGAAGGGTGCAAAGTGGAACTGGTCTTTCCAGGACAGCCTGGAGCATTTTGGAGAAACAGGAGGCCAACATTTCTGACCACCCTGCCCCTTTTCTTGTGTGCTTTGGTAAATCAAACCTTAATTTCCCAGCCTTTCCACCTTAGAACCTTTGGATTTGGGTTTGTGAGCTTTACATGAATTTAGCTCAGGTACCGACAGTGTTTTCCTCTTCCCAGTGAGGGTGTGAGGACACAGCTCAGGTGAGAGACAACTGAGAAACTTCAGTGCAGTTTAGCTCAGACCCAGGAACCCCAGCACTGCCAAGGTCACATTCTGGGCTCTTCTCCTGGAGCTTGGCTTGCAGGTTTGAGATCAGCTGAACTGAGCTGGCTCAGCTTCTCCTCACCCCAAAGATGCCAATAGCATGGCCAGGCCCAGCTTTGCCCTGTCCCTGTGTGGGGTCAGGGGGCTGCTGAGCACACGGAGACAGGAGGAGCTCCTGCAGCTCACTCCAAGCACAAACAAGGATTTTCTGTTATTCCTGTCCCCCTTAAAGCACGGCTGCTGGAATTGCCTGTTAGATTTGCAGAGACCTGTCAGGAGCTGCTTCAAGTGGCCCCGGGGCTGGAAGCCCTGGCAGGACCGGGCAGGGCACGGGGGATGCTCGTCCCTGCTGTGCTCATCCCTGCTCTGCTTCCCCCGTCCGGTCCGCGTGGAAACTGGGCTGGGAGAGGGAACCGGGCTGGGCTGGGCGAGGTAAGGGAACCGGGCTGGGCTGGGTCAGGGAAGGGAACCCAGCCTCAAGCCCCCTTGCCCCGCTGTCCCGGCGCCGAGCGCATCCCGGAGCCCTCGGGCACGGCTCGGTCCGCGGGAGCTGCGGGAGGAGCTGGAGCCCAGCCCGCCTGCCCCGGGAGAATCCGCGCTCCAGAGCTGCGGATCACCGCCGTTAATTAACGGCAAATGAGGGAAATGAGGTGTGGAGGAGCTGCCCCTGGAGAAGGAGCAGCCCAGAGCTGCTAATTGTGTCCCACTGAAGTGGCCGTGCCGGGAGCGCGGGGGGCTCGCTGTCTCCTCTCGCTCCGGGAGCTTGGACACAGCTCTTCACCTCAGCACCCATTTATTCCCTGCCTGTCAAGCACAGGCTCGAATTAAGGTCCTGGCAGCCTGTCCCTACACCTCTCTTTGTGCCTTTGCCGTGGGATGTCCCCAGCTCTGGGACACACCGAGCTCCCCCTCAGGTCATCTTCTTCCACCTGCAAGCGCAGCAGCGGCACCAGATCGATTCGTGTCTGAAAAGCCAGGGCAGCAGAAGAAGCTGGAGATGCTTTTCCACGTGCCAGCAGTGTTCAGCCTCTGGAATTTATATTTAAAATGAAGTCAACAGTCTCCATCTCCCTGTGTTTTGTCTCTAATACCAGATCAGTGCCTGACTGTGCTGGTAATTGGGGAAGGTTCACTGCCCAAACCCCAAACAGAATTAGTCTTTCTGCCTTTAAGCATAAACTGTCTGAGGATGAGTAACAAAATGTTCTTCCTTGAGAAGTTAATGTCAGGCTATTGGAGCTCTGTGGATGGATCAAGCTGTGAGAGCTCGATGCCAATAACAGATTTGCATTTCATCTTCCAGGCTGGGGAAGAGATGCCAAAATTCTCCTTGGTTTCTTTTTCAATGAGATTTTGGTCCTGAGGGAGTTCCAGCCTATTGAGAAATTCCAGTCACACAGATTAAATTATGATAGGTTTGGAGCTGGAGGAGTCACTGGGAATTTTCTATAATGTTCCTCTGCACTCAAGGCTCCAACAAGTGCCTGATCTGTTGGGTTCTTTCCAGCAGATTTCTTTTTTTTTTTTCTGTGTCTGGCTCTGCGTGTGTCAGCACTGTTCACTTGGGAAGGGTTTCAGGGATCCTGCAGGGGGAGGTGCTGCAGCCTGACCCTGCTCCCAGCTCATCCTACAGGGAATAGCCAGGAGTTCTCCCTGTTTCAGCTGCAGGTGGGGGCTGGAGGAGAACAGGGAGATCAGGAGATGGAAAAGAGCTCTGATTTTGAGTGGTGTAAAGGAGAAGAGCCCAGGGCTTGCGGTGAACACTCAGAGTGCTGCTCTGCCTCTTCTCTGAGAGGTTATTCTCCAAATGAATATTCAGAATCCCAGAATGGTTTGGTTGGAAGGGACCCCAAAGCCCATCCAGTGCCACCCCTGCCATGGCAGGGACACCTTCCACTGTCCCAGGCTGCTCCACTCCTCAGTGTCCAACCTGGCCTTGGGCACTGCCAGGGATCCAGGGGCAGCCACAGCTGCTCTGGGCACCCTGTGCCAGGGCCTGCCCACCCTCCCAGGGAACAATTCCTGCCCAATATCCCATCCATCCCTGTCCTCTGGCAGTGGGAGCCATTCCCTCTGTCCTGTCCCTCCATGCCTTGTCCCCAGTCCCTCTCCAGCTCTCCTGGAGCCCCTTTAGGCCCTGCAAGGGGCTCTGAGCTCTCCCTGGAGCCTTCTCCAAGTGAACAATCCCAAATTTCCCAGCCCGTCTCCACAGGGGAGGAGCTCCAGTCCCTTTATCAACTTCACAGCCTCTTCTGGCCTTGCTCCAACAATTCCCTGTCTTCCCCATGCTGGGGACACCAGAACTGTGTCCGGTTTCCCAGGTGAGGCCCCAGGAGAGCACAGGAATGTTTTCCCTGTGAAACTTTCCTGAGCTGCAGCAGCCATCTGCCATCCCCAGCTCCACTCTGGTTCTTCCCACGCTGGTGGAGTAGGGGGAGGCTGGAGAGGAGAGGTCACTCTGCTCATGGTGTCCATTCCCAGCAGCAGGTTTGCTGTTTGTGGGGCTGGATAGTGTGAAGGTGTTTGGGAGCTGTCACAAAGGGAATCCACTTGCCCAGAGCTAAATCAGGAGATCCTCAACTTGGTAACTCTGGGTAAATAACAGAGCTGGAAGTGGCAGGGCCAAGAGGCTCAAGGGCTGGTGGGGCTGCAGCCCCAGGAGCAGGGCTGGGGACACTCTGGGGACACTCTGGGGTCACACACCCCGGGTAAAATGGCCCAACATCACCAACACAGCTGTGCCATCCTAACCCTGCCTCTGAAAATCAGCCCAGGTCTGGAAGTGGATCTGAGGGACTGGAGTGGTCTGGGGTGGATGTTACTGCCATGTGCTTGGAGGTTTCTATGCATGAAATGATAAATTCAGGCAGGGAGGGGCTGTTTTACACAGATTTTCTGGTTCTTGTTGGTTGGTGCCATGAAATCATGGCACAGTTTGTGCAGACTCTGAGCTTTCCACATCCCTTTCAAGGCAGCTCCTGTCCTCACGTTCTGAACCATCAGGAGTATTTTTAATAAAAAATGCTGGATGGAAATAATCATGTCAAGCTTGAGTCATCCACCTCCACAGGCACTATCTAAAGGGTATTGTCAGGAGGGAAAAACATTTCCAGAATGGGAATGTGACAAATCTCACCTGAAGGGAGGCATATGCATGATAAGCAGGCTTGGGGGAGATGCAAGTGGGGCCTTGCAGAGAAACCCAAATGTGAACCATGGCAGCAGCATTTGTCCAGGCAGACATCCCAATGAATCCTTCCCTGAGCCAGGTTCCTTTGGAATCAGCAGGAGGAAATGTTGCTGCAGGGCAGTGCTGGCTTCTGGTGCCTCACCCATGGAGCTCTGCCTCAGGTGAGGCTGGGGTGTCTGTAGGGTTTTTTCTAGGCTGGGGGAGACTTTTGGGCTTCATTCAGAATTCACAGAATCACAGAATCACTGGGTTGGAAGAGACCTTAAAGATCATCAAGTCCAGCCCAGCCCCAACACCTCAGCTAAACCCTGGCCCCCAGTGCCACATCCAGGCTTTGTTAAACACACCCAGGGATGGTGACTGCACCACCTCCCCAGGCAGCCAGTCCAGAACTTTATCACACTTTCTGTGAAACACTTTTTCCTAATATCCAACCTGTATTTCCCTTGGTGCAGCTGGAGACTGCGTGCTCTGGTTCTGTCAGTGATGCCTGGAGAAAGAGCCCAAGCCCAGCTGAGCACAGGCACCTTTCAGGAGCTGTAGAGAGTGTAAGGTCACAGTACAGCCCCTAAGGTTGAGCTCCAGAGTGGCAGTGCCAGGGCTGTGCCTGGTTGAACTGGAGGTGTGAGCAGAGCAGGCCAGGGAAAGGGGCTGCAGGAGCTTGGCATGCAGGGGAACACACAGCAGGAACGTGGGGACTTCCCTCACCAGGAGGCTTTTCCATCCTTATGGATTACAAACCACAGCAGGTGCCTGATTTCTGATGCTT